AGGTCAAAGTCGTCTTAGCTGGTGAATCAGGTGACCCTAGGTACGCTAACAGAGAAGCACATTTGGAAGCGCAGCAGGTAAGCAGCAGCTTCACTCTGTTCCCGCCAATCGACAAATAGTATACAAGCCTGACTGTTTTAGAGAGAAGGGAATCTTTTGCCATTGGTCATGTTTTTGTTGTATCGATGGACGTCAATGAAAGTGCAGCTCCCACGGACAGACTGTGCTGCTCTAGTTGAAGCTATTCGGTTTCAATCACGAAACAGCATCATTGATCAGCCGCTTTACCAATCCTTTCAAGTGGTAGTGGTATCGGTAGGTATAATTTTTGTTGCGGGTGCCTTTTGCTGCAATGCAAAGCCTGACTGTTTTGGAACATGCGCTTCCAAAAAAGTACATCGACGGCAACGCTGCTGCTAAAGAAAAGTTTGGCTGACACTGCGACACTTGCCTTGCAGGAAGTTCGTAACTCTATGGATCTGACGTGGAGGTAACGTGTCTAACACGGCTAGCACAGGAACCCGTGTGACTGCATATGTGCACGCAATTGTCCCGAACACGATGAGGTCGCTTCGAATGCAAATATGCATAATTACTTGCCCGTTAGTCCTACAGGAATGCGGATTGCTTGTTACGATGTAAACTTGCTCCCCATGATATCACCGTACGCTGCCTTTTGCTTTTCGGCAGACCCAAAGAGTATACTCTATCAGACCTGTTACTGCATCACGAATTTCAAACGTGGACAGATAGATTGTGCCTCTATGATGGCTACTACTCCCTCCAGTTCTGTCCGCTATACTGTGTGTCGTTTTGTGTGTGAGTGAAGTCTATGTGGTCTCATTAAAAGAGACGTTAGGGAAACAACCTAATCGCAAAAGAACGTGCGCTTCAGTTGCCACATGAATGTGTGGTAGAGGCATTGCTTCTATGACGAATGAGCGTGACTTTGGTTACTATACTGGATCTGCTGCTCAGTACAACCTAGTCAGGCTTTGATCGTCGAAGTACATGCAGTTGTTGAGGAACTGAGTTGAAACATTTTGTCGCAATATTTTCATCGTCTTCCTGTCTTCTTGGCCGTTTTCCAATGAAATTAAAGACAGTTAAGGCAATGAGCTGGACAGGCGCGCATATGCAAAGCTCTGTTCATTCTGTGATATTTCTAGGCCTGCTGCTTTGCATCAGTTGTAGCATGCTGCGCAACAAAATGTGAGTTCACTGCATATAGAGGACAGCCTTTTAAGTTCTTTGAGCTGATCTCTGAGCGTTTTTGAGCAATTTCTATGCGCAATCGCCCTGAACATGCTTTCTGAGCCTTCAGGGAGTGCGGCGAGCGTATATGATTTGAAGGGTTTCCAAACAACTATACGAAATGCTACAGTATGCATTTTGCTTATTTTAGACGCCACGTCTTGTCTCTGCATAGATTCGTTTCCAGTATTTTGCATTATTGTCGAGCTTTGGTTTCATTGATGGCCGCGGCTGCTACTTTCGTGTGAAACATGGTGCCAAATGGGACATGGCCCAGTGCAGCTTCACTATAGTGAAAAGCCTTGCGCACACACAGGCTTAAAACACGATTCCTGTATCGCCAGCTGGTTAGTTTGCCGCGTTAAAATGCCAATGTGTTCAACAGAAGCTTTTCAGCGAACATGAGCAATCGTTCGTCCTGTACAATTCCCATCCGCATATCATCGCCTACGTTGTCTCTGCTCGTATGAGATTCATTGATAACACAGGTAGTCGGGTTTTATCGCGGATTTGATAACGATTACCTTTGTCTATCTTGGGAGATGGAGGCAAAGCAGAATAAGATACGGCAATGCGGGGGTGTCTACTCACGCAATGCGGGCAGTCAAACATTGTAGTAGCCGCATCCCAGCACAGGCCCCGTTGAACCACAGCTATTCCGGGAACAAACCAGTTTCTCACAGTCCCAGTAAAACCAGAATGTGGCACTCTCCCCGCCTGATGTATCGAATGGCAGAAAAAGGTAAGCCGCTGTAGGTGATCAATACGATGAAGTGCCTCGAGGCGTTTTCGCTCGGTGGATGCGTGGGACGCTGCTCTGAAAGTGATTTCTGCTGAATGAGGAGTTGTTATCTCGTAGGAAGTGTGTTTGAGGCTAGGTCCTTGGCGGTAGCAGCTGTACGAATGATTTGCCGTTAGGTGACATCCATGGATCTTCACTGAATGGAATGTGGTTTGACGCTGCTCAATTGGAACTGAACTACTGCGATGCCGGTTGGAATTAGTGCAGTCATGTGGAATGAGTGTGTGTGTATGCGCGTGTGTGTGTTTGCGCGTGTGCGTCTGTGTTAACAGGGAGTATTTTGCACGCTTGTTCAACGCAGCACAGGCGTGACGTCGACTGGTCCCACGAAATCCTCGCCGCAATGTTCCTCTGCAAATTGCGGATTAGGATGTTCATGAGGGTGAAGGACTCTGCGATGCTTATGAAGTGTTGTCTGCTGAGAAGCTTTGCTGCAGTGTGTTGGTGTGCTGGATGGGGACGAAGGGTTTCGCGGCGTGTTGGTTAGGTGGGTGGGTTGGGCGCTGTTTTGGATATGATTGTTGTTGGATGGGGCGCCGTTACCCGGAAGGACGTGCGTTTAAGGCTAGGTGTTTGTGCGGTGGGTGGTTGGTGTCTGATTGGTTTGCCGTTGGGCGACATCCGGGGATCTTCGGTGCATGTGATCTGGTTAGGCGTTGCCCAGGTTGAAGTGAACTACTACAATGCCGGTCGGAACCAGTGTAGTGACGTGGTATGCACTTGTGTATGCGGGCTTGTGTGTGTGTGTGTGTGTGTGTGCAGGAAGTATGTTAGACTTTTGTTGCATGTGACGAAGAGGAGAGTGAGGTGAAGGTGTTTGGTTTGAGTGGACGTTCCTCGCACTTCTTTGCTGTAACGCGCGGAGTGGTACGTCCGTGGGAGTTGAGGACTTTGCAGTGTTGATGGAGCGTTGTCTGCTGAAAAGCTTTGCTGCAGTGTGTTCGTGTGCTGGATGGGGACGAAGGGTTTCGCGGCTTGTTGGTTAGGTGGGTGGGTTGGGCGTTGTGTTGGATATGATTGTTGTTGGATGGGTCGCCGTTACCTGGAAGGACGTGCGTTTGAGGCTAGGTGTTTGTGCGGTGGGTGGTTGGTGTCTGATTGGTTTGCCGTTGGGCGACATCTGGGGATCTTCGGTGCATGTGATCTGGTTAGGCGTTGCCCAGGTTGAAGTGAACTACTACAATGCCGGTCGGAACGAGTGTAGTGACGTGGTATGCACTTGTGTGTGCTCGCTTGTGTGTGTGTGTGTGTGTGTGCAGGAAGTATGTTAGAGGCTTGTTGCATGTGACGAAGAGGAGAGTGGGGTGAAGGTGTTTGGTTTGAGTGGACGTTCCTCGCACTTCTTTGCTGTAACGCGCGGAGTGGTACGTCCGTGGGAGTTGAGGACTTTGCAGTGTTGATGGAGCGTTGTCTGCTGAAAAGCTTTGCTGCAGTGTGTTCGTGTGCTGGATGGGGACGAAGGGTTTCGCGGCTTGTTGGTTAGGTGGGTGGGTTGGGCGTTGTGTTGGATATGATTGTTGTTGGATGGGGCGCCGTTACCTGGAAGGACGTGCGTTTGAGGCTAGGTGTTTGTGCGGTGGGTGGTTTGTGTCTGATTGGTTTGCCGTTGGGCGACATCTGGGGATCTTCGGTTCATGTGATCTGGTTAGGCGTTGCCCAGGTTGAAGTGAACTACTACAATGCCGGTCGGAACGAGTGTAGTGACGTGGTATGCACTTGTGTGTGCGCGTGTGTGTGTGTGTGTGTGTGCAGGAAGTATGTTAGACTTTTGTTGCATGTGACGAAGAGGAGAGTGGGGTGAAGGTGTTTGGTTTGAGTGGACGTTCCTCGCACTTCTTTGCTGTAACGCGCGGAGTGGTACGTCCGTGGGAGTTGAGGACTTTGCAGTGTTGATGGAGCGTTGTCTGCTGAAAAGCTTTGCTGCAGTGTGTTCGTGTGCTGGATGGGGACGAAGGGTTTCGCGGCTTGTTGGTTAGGTGGGTGGGTTGGGCGTTGTGTTGGATATGATTGTTGTTGGATGGGTCGCCGTTACCTGGAAGGACGTGCGTTTGAGGCTAGGTGTTTGTGCGGTGGGTGGTTTGTGTCTGATTGGTTTGCCGTTGGGCGACATCTGGGGATCTTCGGCGCATGTGATCTGGTTTGCCAGTGCCCATTGGGGAATGGATTGCTGGATTGCCGGTCGGAATTTGTATAGCGTTGTGATACAAGCGGTGTTGGGGTTTTGGTCAAATGATTTGTTGTCGTGTGTAGTTGGGGTGTGAGAGGAGCCAGAGTTTCGTTGATGGTCTTTTGGTCTGGTGTAAAGCTGCACTCCAGAGTGCAGCGGCTCTACGACAATGGCACTATACACTTTTCGAAATTGTAGGTGGGTACTATTTGGAAAGGGACGAACTGCAAGGGTCACGTGTATTGATGTGTGATATGTGCAGGAACGTCATGGGCTCACGAACGCTGTTTGCATTCTCAGACTGTGCGTTGCGTGTGCCTCACGAGTCCACTGCCAGAGTGGAGCCCTTTGTGTCTGCCAAGTCTTCAGAAAATTTCTTGCTGCACGGACGCGTCGTTTGGTTCTATACCTTATTGTTGTGCTGCTGCTGCTGCTGCTGGCTCTCACTTTCATTCCCTTGCTGTTACCTTTTTACAGCTGCTTGTTTCCTGCTGCTACTGCTATCTGTTTTCTGCTTCTACTGCTGGTGCGGCTGCAACTGGGTGTGTTTGCTGCGGTTTCTGGCCCTCGGGGTTTTTCTTTTACTCCAGTTGATTCACTTCTTGAATGCGGCAGAGCTTCTGCGGCTTCTGGAATGCGTTTTGATCAAATTCCTTTGACTCGAAGTTACTGCAAGTGCTTCTTTCAAGCAAGGCTGCGAACGTTCTAACTTCTCCTTTTCTCTGTTCCGCCTCTTCTATCATATTCCATTTAACTCCAACGAATACACCGACTGAAATGCTGCCGCGGTGCGGACCGAAAATCTTCGCGCTGCGGAAAATGTGTCATTGGATGCGTCAGCAACGTGGAAAAGAATTCAAGCACTGGTGGATGCTCTGTTTCGTGGAGTGCAGTAAATTGCCCAGAGAAGGCAATGAGGAGGTTGACACTCTTTTGCTACAAACCACTTCCGATGCTGTCGAGATACTTGTTATGGCGCAGTGAAAATTGCCACCTGAAGTGTCATGCACGCTTCAGCGACGTGATTGCGGTGGAGAAAAAACTCTGTGCTGAGACGTTCAGCGTCACTGGGAGCTGAGAGGTAATCTGACCCCATTGAGAGACTGCTGTCTTTGCGTTGAATCGGCTCAGTTTGCAAAGCAGAAAGTCCTGAACGTCGTTGCTTACAGCGCTAGGTATCGGGCGAATTTGTTGCTGCATTTCGTGCTACTTTTTTGGTGTGCTGGCATTTGGATCATTTCTGGTTGTTTTCGTGGATAGTGTAAGCAATGCATACGCAGAAGCGTTGTGCAGAATCTTGCATGCATGTGCGGGGATTCGCACTGGGGCCCAGGATTTGCGATGCACATTCGACAATAGAGCAGCTCCGAGTGGTTGTTGGAGTGTCATCCTGTAGGCCGTTTATATCCGGGGAGGTGCTTTATGAAACAAAATTCAAACGCACGTCTCACTTGTTTTGGAGCTAATTTAAGGCGTGAACGAGAAAGCAGCAGTTGTTGCGTTCATTGCGGTGTCACTGAGGATGAAGGCCTTGCAAGCGTACGTGTGTTTTGTGAAAGACAACTGTGGGCCTTTGTTGCATGTGTCATAGACGACGGACTGTGAGGTCTAGTTGTTTCAGTGGATTTGCGTGTCACTTACCTCCACCAAGAGATCCTGTTTGTGTGCGGGGTGGTGGGAAACCCTACAGCAAAAATGCAGAGTGGCTATGCACACGTTGCGCATTGGCCGGCTAGTTGACGTGCCGCTGGACGAGAACTATATTTTGTACTTTTCGGGAATGTGTATCGGGATTGTTTTGGGAGAGGCCAACAGCAGGGGTCACGTGTGGTTATGTGTGCAGGAACGTCATGGGCTCATGAACACGGTCTGAGTTCTCAGGCTGTGCGCTGCCATGTCTCTCACAAGCTACTGCCAGCTTGTATTTAACGAATGGATACACACCGATTTCCGAAGTGCTGCCGCGGGACGGGCCCCTATCTTCGCTCCGCCGATAATGTGACATTGGGTACATCGACGCTTCCGAGACTCGTTTCGTCGCTATCGCGTTCTTTAAAGAGGTTGGCTGCATGTTAAGAACACCACCAACAAATCGAGAATACGTGAGTGTGTCGTGGAAAGTGAAAGAAGTATGAGCATTACTCCAATTATGTCTGGCTGTCGTTTTGGGCAATGATATGGACGCAGCGCGTATTGTGGTCATTTCATGCATATGTACAAAGGAAAAACGATTAGATCTAGTTTCTTTCGGCAGAGTTTTATTGGGTTGGATTGCCGCTCTGCATGTATTACCACACCTCCCACGGTTGAGGTTCTGAAGTTCTTGCTGATATATTGCATGATGGTTTTCACAGGTTCCACATTTTGGGTTGTTTGACGGCACAGTGGCTGTCGACCCAAAGCAGCGCATAGTTTGAGATGCAGGCGGCAGGAATCTAGCAGAAAGTATGTTTAATGTCTGCTATTGTTTGAGTGTCACGTTAGCGAATTTTCGCGCGAGTTAATTGGAGCAAGCTACTCGCTGCTTTCTTTTACCAAGTAACCAACAAGTTCTACCAAGCTTGGTAGAGACAGTGTAAAATCCAAATTTGTCCAGTTCAGCCAACTTCGCAGCAAGACGCTCACTCTTATTTTTTTCCTTTTATCACATTGCTCTAGTGGCTTCTTCTGCATAGCAGTCCCCTTGCCTCCACATACAGCTTACACATTAGTGGTGGCTGCTCCGATATTGCGAGATAGCCATATAAAAGGTACTAAAATTATTATTAGCAGAGCACGGATTTGCTTCTGCTTGCTCTCAGGGAGTGCGTTTTATGGCAGGAGCAGCCTTAACCATTGAACACTGGTAAACACAGATAACTAGAACAGGATGCGTTTAACGCAGTGAGTAACCTTGGGCAAGGAGGTTTCTCTTTTAGTGTCATTTCCTGAGGCATAGAAATACAATATTCACTATCGCAGCTACTTCTGGAGCCATTTTTAAATATTATTGCGGAGATAACCTACACACCGGTACTGCCATGGACGCGCTGAGCATTTAAGCCGTCGACGACGTGTGCGCGCAGTAGGGCTAAGTTAAAGTCGTTTAGTGCTTATGCGTGTACTGGGACACATGTGAGTACTTGATACATTTAGGTGGAGGCAGGTGGGGTTGGATTGGCCCGCAAAGATTGCCACAGCTCACACGATTATACATTGCTGGCTCCCTGGATAGTGGAGCACGTTTTCACAGATGTCGCATTCTACGTTGGCTACCCAAGTCAAAAAAGTATGCAACGTAGGCTGCAGAGTTTTGTTTAGCAGAAAGTGCATTTAGTGCCCGCTGTTGTTTGAGTGGAAAGTCAGCAGGCTCTAACGGGCACTTACAAAACCCATGTTACAACCTTGTTTCCTTGGGCAAAGAGCCAAAGAGTTCTGTAACGCTGCATGGCGTACGTAAATCTGGGAATCCTCCAATTCACCTAACACTGCACAAATACATAGCTGCTGGCGTTTTCCCAAATGCAATACTCTCGACAATATTATTGCACATTCTCGTAATCCTCTTTCTGCATTGCGCGTACAACGTGCGGCTGTTGGGGAAAGACGAAAGAGCTGAGCGCCTCTTCCTTCCATTCTGTGTGCAGAGGACGACGCTGGCATTGTGAGCTCACAGGGAGTACGCTGCAGCATGTGAACGCCCTTGAGAGTTCCGCATTGCATGGCTTCGTCGAAAGCTATGTAGGGGCTCGCTAAACTCAGTGAATTGCCTTGGGCATCGTTTCTTGTTTCTTCTGTTGGCATTTTGACCAGCGCTTCGTTACAGTATGCACGGTTGTTTGAACCACTGGATCCGTGGTTTGGTGTCAGTGTAGACATTGCGGCACGTAGCACTTTCAAGCTAGCGTCATGGTATGTTATGTGGCGGCGTGTCAACAGCCCCAGGGCTCGCTGAAATGCCCGCACGTTAGGGCTAAGCGTTTGCAATGATTATATTTGCGTGCGCATCTTGAGGGCACGGCCTGCAATGGAGCCGTTCAGTACAAACTTTGCAGAAAAGCGAAAGGCCCTCACAAGGTTTCACGACATTGTCAATAATGGAGTTCAGTTGGTGCGATCTGGGCCATAGGGAGACACTGCAAAGGCATGACACTCAGCTCGGTTAGATTCAGCGCCTCGCACTTTCAGTCTTCAGCAGTCTTGGTTGTCTCAGTGGTTGCGGAGAGATATATTGGAACTCTTGATGCAGGGCGTGTGCAATTGCATTGAATACTTGGCGGATGGGAAGTCGTGCTAGAGTGGTGTCTTCAGCGAGCGCGTGCGACGTGTTGGTGCAGAAGTTCATGTGCTGGGACGAGGCGCATCAGTCTTTTACCAGATGTTGTTGACCTGTGCTTCTCCGCTTTTGCGGAAACATTTGTCTGGTGGCACCTGCTTTTCCTACCACATTCATGCTTGACTAGCAGTCTCTCAGCTGGGAATCGCATCATGTACTTTTAGGTTGATTAAAGCGCAGTAACGCCGTGTTAGAAGCATGCGTTTGTGGCGTGTACGCAGTTGGAATACTGCACCAAATTGTGAATCGGCTAACAGACAGAGTGGCTGAATGTCGCTAGAAGGTGCTGACTGCGTTGCACGTGCAGACAGTGTGTAATAAGTGTCATCTTGATGGTGCTTGCCTCTACAGTTTTAGGCCTTGGTTTGGTCGCTTCTGACTCCCTATGCACGGACTGTGCGAAGGATACTGAGGTGGCGTACTGAATTGTATTTGTTTCCCTGGCGACAATGCTGCTTCGCGTGGTGTTTGGGGAGAGAGCTAGATAACAGCAGGTGGCTTCGCATTGTTATTGGTGTGTTGGAGCAATCAGGTTGGGCAGAGCATGGTATGCGTTTCATTGTTGATGTTCGGTGGCGCGCGATGGCGCTGGGAAAAAGAAACAGGTTCAACGCGGACGTGTTTGTGCGCCCCTCAGAGCGTGCGTCTTTTGCTTTCATGGCAGTATCACGAAACCGCAGCGTGATATGTCTCTGTGTGTGTCAGCAGCGGGCCTTCGTCGACTTTTTTTGCGTTTTTCCGCGAATGCCCTGGTGCAGAACGTGGCCATTTGAGACTTACACCATTTGGTCGAAAGTCGTAAGCTGTTTATGCGAGCGTGAAGCCATTTTGCCGCACGCACCATATTCCGCCGAAAGGGTGTAGCGGAATTTTGGCCAGGATTACAGGTACAGCTGGCACGCGCAGCACACCACAGGCGGCGTGTTCTTCCATATGGCAGCTTTCTGTTTGCAGATCTTCTTACGACTTACTGCACTGCACAGGCGCACATGGCAGTGGTATGAACGTTTCGCCGTCTTACCCGGACTACCGAGTTTGACTTGCTTCGACGCTGCGGTGCCTGCCCGCATTTTGATCAGAGCCGATGCACGTGAGCCTCAGTTTTAAATGAACGAGGATTGCCAGGGCCGCGCTTTGAAGCGTCGCTTCAGCGGCGTTATGTAGCCAAGTTATGCGGTGTGTTCAACGTCTCATGCGGTGGGTTACACTATGCGTGGTCCACAGAGGAAAGGGAAAACAAGTCGAGTCCGACGAATAGGATTCCAGACGAGTTCAATTGTTGCTTCGAAAGGCAGAGCAGGCGTTCTGACACTTTGGGAGAGCAAATTGAAGGGCTAGACCTTCCCAGCGTATCGCGAATGCAATCCCCAGAAAGTAGGCCCTGAGTGCTACACAAGCCGTGAATCTGTATCAGCTGGTTGTTGAAGTACAAGCTATTGGATTTGGCGGTGTCTTGGGGCCTGTGAGAGCATTCTGCATTTCTGTGGATTCTTCTGGGCTGCACAGGCCGCAGGGTATGCGGCACCCTCGAAACATGTCTTAGTTCTTTCAGTGATAGCTGTCTACTTCTGTGCCGAACCGACTTAATGTGCCCACCCTTTAGATTTTTTGTCCACCTTTGGCACTCACGCTAATGCTTTCCCCGCCGACAATTTTCTTCTGTGTTGCT